CGTGCCGAGCCTCTTCGAGATCCTCCTTGCCTACATCTCCTCGGCATGCAGGCAGTTTGCAAGACAGCTTCTCGTGCTGACTGTACCTCCACATCCCAAACCACTTTGACAACAGTGAATGCTTCCCGAAGTGGGAGGAAAGCCGTCCCGTCGGCAAAATAGTTTGCCGTAGCTCTGCCTCTTAAACGTCAGTGGACGTGCGTGTCAAGCACAAGGCAAGGTAAAAGTGAGCAAAGCAAGCGGCGACGAACCAGCCGCCATGTGCCCGATGCATCCGCTTGCCTGTGGCTTTTCTGACAAACCTCTAGCAAGCTCTCTCTGACAGTGCACCTAGTTCCCAAGGGAAATGATGCGAGCCTGTCGTAGTTGTACCCATTCTCGGCATCGTGACTGTGGAATTTCTCTGAGTAGTTGAACTTCCCGCCTGGCAAGGCGTGGTGTGATGAGCCTCGATCGCTGCAGGCCTCCAGATTCAAAGTGGACAGTCGTGATGAGGTCTTCTCGTGTCTTCTCACAAAGCAACATCACGACTTCGATGCGGATAGTGGTTTAAGCCAGGTTAAAGCCAGCTCCCTCCTATTTACCGCAACGAGCCATTCCTGTCGATCATGGCATGGGATGCCTGCATACAGCTTCAAGACGAAGTCTTCCGAGTCTTCTTCCATCCCGCAATGACGACCGCGGATCCAGGACTGTCAGCGCGAAGTTCTCATTGGGTTTTTGGGAAGGTAATCTTGCAGAAGCAAACAACCAACGTCGAATACTGGTGAAATGGATCGGGCGCCCGTCCGGCTCTCTGTCTGTTCTTCTGTCCCAGTGGCTCTTTCTGGCTCTGTAAGCAGGAGGGCCTCACTGTCGGGTCGGCACTTCAGGTTGTGAGGCGTGAACTGCCTTTCTCCGCCAAAGGCGGACCTCAATTTTCAGAACATCAGGATTTTCTTCCTTCGATGCTGCTCCGGCTTGGATTGGCAAAGGGCGTACCAAGCCAAGCCGCACGAAAGCCGAGCCGCTACGTCAATGTAAAAACGAAACCAACGTGACGCCTGGGCGGAACTGATTTTTTGCTTGGGTGCGGACCTGGCCCTTCTTGCTTGCAGGTGCAGGTAGGCTTATATTATATGGAGCATATGTAAATACGTGTACATGTACGCATGTCTACGCCGCACGAAGCCCCCCAAAGCAGCAAAGGCCAAGTTGCACCGACCCCGCCTTCGTCGGTGCAGCTCGGCCTTTGCGTTGTGTTTTGGTCTTCAAGCGGCATAAGAATACACATGTACACATGTGCACATTTATGCACTGCTACTTGTAACGTGCATGATCACGTCAATGACTGTGTTTTGGTGATGTCTCAACCCAAGCCAAGCCGAGCCCAGCCAGGCCAAGCCAAGCCGGGACAAAGCCAGGCCAAGCCAAGCCAAAAACCTGACCACCCCTAGGAAACAGTGCGCTTGGCCAAGGCAAGCCAAGCCAAGCCAACAGCCGAGCCAAGCATTGCCCAGCCGCAACAAGAAAAATAGAGGTCCCCAAAAGAACATCTTTCGCCCGACCACTACACACACCCCAACCTCATCCAGCGAATCTAACCACGTTGCAAGCGTCACGGGCAGACCATTTTCCCATGCTCTGCACAATTACCTTTCATGGGGTGTATGCTCTGTCTCTCTCTTTGTCGCTCCTTCCGTGCCTTTTTGAAGCATTTTTGCGTGCACCACTCCGGCTCAGCATGCCTTAGGGGCGAGGGCAATCTGCATGCATGATACTGAATTACATTCCAATCTGCATGTGGCACTATGACATGTGGTTCCGACTTTGCCAGCTTTAGGATCTTTAGGTTGGAGCCCTGTCGGAGTTCACAGGAGAAACCAGCTGTTTGCCGACAAGGTGCACTCCTGCCACTATGCTCTGGTTGGCGAGCTCCCCTGCCGTGACAGTCTCCTGACCGCAGGAGGACAGCCTGCTTGAAAATGTCGGTCCGGGGCACATTGGAACATAATGAAGAACCTGCGAACGAAACTACAACAACCTGAAGATCACGAAGAAGTTGCGACAACTTCAAAGACAGTTTAGCAAAATCCATCCCCCACCCTGTCACCCCCTGGAACCCCGACACCGAAACCCCCCGTTCTGGCGCTCCTGAAGCGGCTCTGCCCCGGTCTCCGCCGAAGACGGGAGGAAAAACACGGAGGGCCTTGGTATGGAAAAGCACCGCTACTACCTCCACCAGTACTACTATTGCTCCTGCCACCGGCACTGGTAATTACTCCTACTCTTACTCACTTCTCCCCCTACTCCCACTACCTGAGAAGAGGGCGACGAAAAACTGAGCACAGTTGATGGTTCGTGCGCTATTGCGTGCATCAGGGTGGGCGCAAGCATGTGCGTAAAGACGGACACAAGTGCCGTGGTCATCCGTGGTCTTTGAATCTGCCAGGTCGACACCCTAAACATCCGTAAACAACAGATGCGCTTGAAGTGATGCTTTGATACATATTGCCAGGTCGACGCACTAAACCTGCGTACATACACATAACATGAAGAAATGCTGCTGCCCCTGCTGCGGCTGCTGGCGCCACTGCGACTGCCAGCACTGCTGCGGTGGATCATTCGGCTTTGAGGGTCATTGCTATGAGTTCGATTGCTGCTACTGCTACTGCTGTGGCCGTATTCGCGCCGTCGTGTTGTGCTGTCAGGGCTGCCGCCCTCTTGCCCAGGACACAATTCTCTCCGGACTGAGGCAAGGAGCGGGGGAGGCGGGGGACGAATCTGTGTTGTGTTTTTGGGTGAGCCACCAATCACCAAGCAAAGGCTACGAGCTGCCAGAGCCAGTACGAAACCTCGCCGGCCGCACCGCTCCAAGAAGCG